GTCTGGAAAATACTGTAGTAGTACAATCTGCTGTTCTGCAGTAGATTGGTTCTGCACCTCTCAGAGGCACAGAGCACAGTATTGGGGCCATAGTTAAAGGAGCTTTAAGCAGTGTTTGTATTCTGACTTTCCTAAACTACTCTGAGGACTGCAGTGGTCTCACATAACTTCCCAGAGTTGCAGCACCACTTGGTTTCTCTGCGCAGTGTTGCATGCCAACCATGTCTTCACTTCCCTTCATATGTCTCTACAGCAGGATTTACATGGGAGCAGTACCGGAAGAAAGTAGTAACTGGTTTTTGTTATGGTGAGGGAGCCAAAGAAATCCTCTCTCAGACAGAGCCTGTGCTTTAGTGTCCATTCACATTGTTCTGGCCCATCTACTTCACAAAAAAAAAAAGAAGAGGAAAAATTCTTTTCCTCCTAGCACATATACAGTATAAGATCATGACTATATCAATGCAGTAAGAATAATATACCCTTCCCAATAACCACTCTGTCATCAAACAGCTAGTAATGGCAAAGCGAAAAAAATAACTGTCCACGTCCCACCCATGCAACAAGAATGATTGTTCCTAACAGCACGGCTTCATTATGGACTTGAGATTGTTAGAAAGTAATTGAAGTAATTGTGTATTGAATGCAACAGGAAACAGATGTCTTAATTTCTTTTTAAATAATTACAAATAGCATTTTCATAAGGCTCCAAATGCCACTCCCAAAAGTACAAAAATCACTTAGATTGACTTGAAAGTTTCACCCAACCTATTGGACAGACTAATAGTCAATAAACTTGGACGTGTGGAGAAAAGGATCAAATTAAGAGTTATAAAGATGCAATCAATCAATAGTTTTTATTATGTCATTTTTTGAGATTTTAAGCATATTTTTATGAAGTTAATTTATGGCCAGTTTTTCAAATTGCTATAATTTCTGGTATGAGTTATTTGCAAGTCCTAAAATAGTGGTTAACGTGCAACATTAACTTACAGCATTCTGCAAAACTGTGCGCTAATGCAATGCAAAGTCAGAGCCACATTCATAAGGGAAATATTTTGCTGTTTGGTCAGAGACACCTTTCACCTCCATGCATAACTAGTCAGTGAGTTGAGGACAGGAATAAAGAGATCATTCTCCACCCTCACACTGCAGGAACTTGGTCTTCACTTCATGGGAGGACATATTTAATGTTCTATTTTCTAAAATAATAATAAAAGAAATTGAATTAATTTTACATTTTTGGGCAAGACCTTAACAATAATCTGCTCAAAGTCTCCCAAGCTTAAAGGGTTTCTTGTCTAGGTCTAACGGCAGCAGTAGCAGCAAGTGTGAGTTAACCCACAAAGTGGTAATTTCCTGTCAAGAGCCCTCCAACAAATGTCGCTTTTATATCTGGCAAAGATCACTAGGCCCCAGTGTTTTGAGTTCAGCATGCTTAAGCACTCTTCATTAAACCGGATGTAGAGTGTGAAAGGTGATTCAGGCAGCATGGGCAGGCATCCGCCCAGATGGCTATGCTTTGGACACTCCAACAAGGCTGAATAGATGCTTCATTGGGTGAGTTAATAGTCAGGCCGGGGCCAATGAGTACTTTAAAAATATTGTCTTTCAATAGTCTCTTCACTGTAGGGAAAAAGAAGTCACTGACTCATTTGCGATTAGCTGACCTACCATTACAAAACTTTCCATCTTGCGTTCAGTCATAACAGAATTTATTGTAAAATACTAGATATTTAGAGTCCATGTTATTTTCAAGCAATTATTCTTTTTACATTCATGACACATTCATAAACACAGCTGCATCGGGTGTGCTGGATGAAAAGGAAAAGCAACACGCTGTATCCTGTCCCCTCATGCACAGCCATTAGCTCTGCCTTCTCAGTAAGCCTTAGTGTGGCCTCTTGACTGCAGATTGGAGGAGAGTTATCTTTCCTTTTCAGTGCATCCTGAAGTTCATTCTAGGTGCCAACGTTTCTTTCCGCCAACGGCACAGGTTTTGTGGTTCCAAACTACCTAAAAGACATTATGTGGCTTCCCCATGCAATGCCATGTACAACCAGGAGACTCATCCTCGTCACAACATTGCCAGAGTTCATTTTGTTCCTCTTGCTCATAGATGCAAGTCTTGCAGTCTACAAATTAGTAAGTAGCAAATTATCCTGGCTGAAGCCATGGCTTTCTCTTGGCATTTGTAACTGGTATGAAAGCAAGTAACTCCCCTCTTATAAGTCACAACTCCAGTTTCACAACCTCAAAGGAAAATTGCACTGAGTCAGGATGGCAAAGGATTCTGTTATGGTTAGCAACAGAGTGGATCAATTATCGCACTGGGAAGAAGATAAGAGGTAATCATTGGTGTAGTATGGCAAAAGTCTAGGTTAATCCTGTTGTAAGTATATTCTTTAATACAAGAATCTACAGTGACTTCAGGTATAGATAAACGGGTAACAAAGACCATGATAACTGGTACCAAGTAAAAAACAACTGAAGACAAAGAAGAATGTTTCTAGCTTGGCCTGCATCTTGCAGCTCCACAAATGACATACAGAAAACAGAAAGTTAAATCCATCCTGGTCCTGACTTCTGCCATCTCAAAGCATTTTGTAGACAGTCAGTAGTGGGACTTTTGAGATCAGCCAGGAAAAACAACTTATGGATTTGACAACTAGGGGGAAAGGACTTTTATTTAACTTGAGCCAACCTAACTAATGGATTCCATCACGTAGCAAGAGGAAGAAAAGAACCATCTTCTAAGGACTGCTCATCTTCTGTCTTAAATATTTACCTCAAGGTTTGAGGCTGTAGACAGAGCACAGATGACTCACTTTTATTAGATGGATGACTTTTTTATAACTAAAGTTAGGTGAGATGAATTCAACTCTGAAGTTGTAGCAAATCACAAGACAACTTGTTTCCTCTGTATTCATTATGACAAGAGAACTTTGTTCATGAAGATGTTTGGGTGAAGGCAGTCAGCAGGCACTAGCATGAAAATGACTTGCATATGTTGCCAGTGCAGACCAGGAAAGCAGCATCTTAAATCTATTAGCTAGTCTCCCAAACATTAAAAACATGAAAATTTTTCAACTTTTTCTGGAACCTCTTACGTTTACTTAGAATACTTACAAGTTGGTTGCCTTTTGACAGAGTGCCCTGTCCTTAATTAATGAGAGAGGAGAGGACCATGATCTTAAATTCAAACCACCTCATTTAAAACTTCAGAGCTTGAGTTTCATTGTTGCTGGGCACTGGCAGCTCTTTTCTTCAGCAAAAGCTTCTGGAAAGCCAAGTATGAAAACTTGATTCTTCTGCAAAGGAATACAAGGCTTTCTGCGGTCAGTGCCTAAGCTCTGCTGAAATTTCTTCCTGAAAAGCCTTTCTTTGGGATGAAGATGGAAATTTAGACGATCTCGAACAGATTTGTTGCCAGTGTTGCCAATACATAGCTGTATTAACAGTACCAGTTGAAGTGTTGACGTTCCAGTACGGTGCTGCCATTTACCAGCCTGTCTCAGCAGCTAATTGTACAGGTAAATCCAGTCTCTGTGGCGATGAGAAGTATATGCTAAATAATGCATCTTACAGCTTTGATGTCTTCCCTCTCATCTGCTAACTGGCCTGTCTCCCCAGGGCGTGGTGGAATATGCTAAATCACTGACTGCAGTATGTTGGTCAGAAATAGTCTTCTCTTTCTCCTCTCTAATTAGGAGTGGCCAGTGTGTGGCTTTTTAGCTGCCTGAGGCTGGTGAACTGTTCGAATACGTTTGCCAAGGCAGGGCTGCCTTCCTGGCTGTGGGCTGGAGGGAGTCAGCAGAAACTTCTCATTGCTGTAATTGCCTCGAGGACCCACTTATGCAACTGATTAACCCCAGACTCATCCGGCAATGGAGTAATGTAATGAGACCCTTTGGGAATAATTGTCATCTCCCTCCTAGGAACAACTATGGCAGCTCTTCTCTCCATGACCTTCCAAAATATGGAGAAGGGGTTTTACAGTCCTCAGCCATTTAAAATTTTGGCATGCAGCTTGCAAGATTTGTAAGCATCAGAAGCGATAGTCCTACTTTGGTGACAGCATTCTAGTTAAAGGAAACACCACATTGTCAAACAATCCAAGGTCATGAAATCTAAAATTATGACACTTTTTGTAGAAAAGGTAGAGCCCTGTGTATGAGGATACGTTTGCATGTAAAATGTAGAAGCTCTGAAGATATGTGGCTGGTCAAGGGGAACAGGGATCCTAACCATCTCTGAGATGCAGATGGATAACAGGAGGGCAAAACAGGGAGAGCCATTTCTTAGGCACAGCACACAGATGATCTGCTCCTGTAAGACAGGCAATAAGACAGATCCATGTCAAGCAAGCACTCATAAGCACAGTTTACTTTCTGTTGCTGGGCAGCCTGTGGCTACAGAAGGCGAAAGCTGTTCTCTGTTTTCCTGCCTATCCTATCCTCAGCACATCTTCTCCTTAGTGGGAGGCATTTGTCGGACTTCTTTGATTTCTAGTTTCCAACTGTCACCGAGAACAGCTGGAGAATAGGGAGATTCTTCTTTTGCTTGCCTCTTTTTGTAAGTTCTCCAATTAGCTGCTTGCTTTGAGGCCAGACGGTACTATTTTTCTGCAGAAACTGGCAGGATGGCTTGTGAACATTTAAAAAGGAAGGCACCTTTCCAGTAATAAGGATCCTTTTGCTCTCCTCCCTTAAAACTCAGTTGAGTGAACAGGAGTTGGGACATTTTCTACTCTGTTTTTTACTGAATAGCAAGTTTCCAAGTAAAAGATGGGAGAAAAAGCTCAGATTAATTCAATTTATTTTTCTACTCACATACATACCTGCCAGTACCTAGCTCTTCAATAAATTAATTTGCTGCTTAAATGCAGTGACTGCTTTGCAAGACTTTCCCTGACCCTTTGGTGTAACACCATCAGCCCTTATTCTAAAAATAAGTATTTGGTAGATAATGCCTTAATTTGATTTTCTTTGTTTTTATTGTAGTACCCTTTCAACAGCCCAACATCAAGAATGGAGCCCTGTTTGATGAGCAGTACTCCAAGGCTGCATCCCACACCAGTGACTCCTCGCTGGCCGGAGGTCCCGGCTGCCAACTCCTGCTATACAAGCCCATCCATGCACTCCACAAGATATGGAAATTCTAGTGACATGTACACCCCCCTGACTACGCGCAGAAATTCTGAATACGAGCACATGCAACACTTTCCTGGCTTTGCCTACATCAATGGGGAAGCCACCACAGGTTGGGCTAAATGAAAATGACTGGTATCAGCTAAGCCCATATACATAAAAGAGTTATAAAAACTTCATGTTATGTGGAACTTTTCATGGACGTTCTTCAAGGGAGGTGAAGATGGAAAAGATCCTGGGCAGATAAACTTAGTTTGTAATGTGGGCAGATTGCAGACCGGTATGACTGAATGTTCCTGTAGCCGAAAAATATTTTTGCGCTCTTCTAGACCACTTTTGGGGCCAATCTGTGCCTTTTTTTATTCTGGCATGTCGGCCAACCCTGTGTGATGTCAGTTTGAGTGAGCCATGTTTGTCCCCCTCTCTTATTGACAAACGTTAATGAGTCTTACAAAAAAAAAGTACTGGAACAGGATCTATTTATAATTTGAGTTAAAGATAGGAAATTCACCCTCAGCAAAACTCTGTCATCTGTTCTTTTTTTACGCTCTTTATGCATTTCTTAAAAACCACCCTGCCAAGTCATCACCTGTTCATAGCAATTCCTCTATCTGGCTCCTTAAAAGACGTGTTGTTGTAGGTTTCGGTTTACACCTGACTTTGTATGTTGATGCACCTTTCCGTCGATCCAGCAAGTTTGATCTTTACAAAAGAGAAGAGAAGACATGTAGCATTGAGTTACACACTGCCTTAAGTTGACTATTGTTCTTATTCTATATGTATTTGTGTTAAGTTTGCACAATCTGGAAAAATCTAATTTCTCTGGTCAGTAATGACAAGGTTAAGAAGGGACTTGGGGACTGGGAAGATTTTGGATTCAGAGCCACATATGTTAAATATGACGATATGAAGCAATTATGTAAAGAAAATGACAATGCAAACATGATTATTCATTTCATTACCTATTGACAGGTATGAAACTGTTCTCTGAATTCCTTCATGTGGTGATAATTCTATATACTTCTAAAAAAGCAAAATTCAAAGCTGTGCCTTTGAACTTATTCTGTACTGTGTATGTGTGGAAAAATGTATTGTATTTTGGGGAGAATTTTTCTTAGCCATTTTCTGTCAGATTTGTAGCTATATGTGAGTTTTTGTTAGATTTTATTAACATAGCTTTTTCTTCTGTATTATAAAATGCACCAAGCAATTATGGTGGACCTATTACCCTATGGGTAAGAAATAAATAAATGGAAATATGACATCAGGCATTTTAGTAATTGTTTTGTAAATAAAATCTTTGATAGCACCCAGTGTGATGATAACCATGTTTGTGCCTAAAATGGATGGAAGTGTTATTTGTACAGTTGTGCAAGATATATGAAGGATTTTCACAGTCAAATAAAGTTCTTGAAATTAAATAGATACCATTTAAATTTACTTAAATACAGAAACTTCCACAAGCTGCAAACTTTCAAAAAACCGTAAATGTGACCACGTATGTTTTTATCCAACAAAGGACTTGAGAACATACATAACTCACAGCAAATGTGTAGTCCTTCACCTGTGCTTTTAGCTGGAAGGGCTCAAAGCTCAAGACTATGACTGGATAAATGACTCTGTGTTGTTCGGTTTAAGTCCTGCTGCTGTTGCTCACCCAAGCCAGTGTACTCACTGAGGCAGGTAAGATGTGCTGTCTTCTTTACAGTAACTTGTAATAAATGTCTTGCCAGTGGAATACTGGAAATGGAAAAGCTGGTTTTCCTCAGGTGAGTAAATGAAGTGGCAAAATTCTCAGACCTTGTATATTCAACTAGTGGGTAAACTGAGGACTGAGTCTGAGGTCTAAAGTAACTACAGGAATGAGCTGGAAATCTGCAAGGACTGACGGAGAAAAGATGTCCCAGGCCAGGTTTGGCAAATGTTCAGGCTCTAATATATTCAGCCAAGGTCCTGGTGGGGTTGGGTTTTTCAGAAACACAGCAGGCACCTATCTCCACCCTTAAATAGAATCATAGAATCATAGAATGGT